GAATAAAAAGTGGGACCGATTTCGGACTAATCCGGAATTTGTTCGCAACAGTACGGTTTATTGTAGAGTTTTTTTTACCATGAATTAAGATTGAAATCAATACCGTTTTTTATAACTATTGAATCCGTAATTAGTGCATTTTAGTCTGCAGTTAGTCAGATCATATGCAACTAGTAAACGCAGAATAATCCGGTTGGATTAACCAGTAAATGCGCAGCTAATCCGAAACAGTCTGCTTATGGACAGGTTTTTGTCGCTCAGAATTTGTCCGGATTAATTCAAACTCAATTCGGTTTGTGTATAACCAGTGAATCCGGAATTAGTCCGATCTAGTCCGAAGTTTGTCTGATAATACGCAACTTGCAAATGTGAAATTATTAAATCCGGAATTAATCTGGTATTGGTCAGGTTTTTGTCATACGAAATTATAATTATAGTTTGAATTTATCTGCATTTAATACAAATTGTTTTTAATATACAAATTCAATATTACACTAAAATCATTCCTGATTAAGTCTTTGAATTGGATTTAATATGGATTGTTTTGAACTGTCTGTGGATTGTATAGGTACAAATATTTACAAATTCTTATAATAATAAGACTTATTTTCGGACTGTGGTGTTTTGATCAGATATTATTCGAATTGACGCTGACTATTACCGGATTCTTTGAATACAGACATTGGATTGTTCCATACTTGTTTCGGATTAAATCTTTGGTTGTCGGGTAGAGACTCGTGAAATAATAATAGACACAGTGATAAATTATAAGAATTGTATTAATTTATTCAAAATTTGTTAGCTCTCGGAGCGCGGTTGTGCTCAGGACGAGAAAAGTCCAAAGACTGAAAATAAAAATCGCTACTACAAAATCACGGCGTCGCTTGAGAAAAGAGATAAAAAAAAACTTGCCAAAAAATATTACATGTTAGAAAAAGATGGAAAAGTGGTAAAGAGTGGGAATTGCAAGTTTAAGCCTGCATATTTGCTATTATCCTGTACGAACCGATTTTTATGATAGGGTCTCGGTGTAGGTATACACGTTGACCGTAAAGAGGAAGAAAAGTATCGTACAGAACACTTTTAAGGAAAACTTAATTTACATTTAGAAAACTGTATAAGTTACAATTTATATTAATATTAATTTAAGCACAACCGAGAATTCAATATAAGAAACATAATAATATTTCATGTAGTGTGTTACATTATGTGTGTGTATGTGTGTTTATTTGTTCGTGTAAATTCCGTGTAATAAAAATGTTATTAGATTACAGTCGCCACAAATCTTTTAACTGGATTAAATTCTGATTATTACTAGATTAACGCGGATCATTTTCTTACAATTATCGGACTAATCCACACTAATATACCCGGATTTAATCCGGATTAGTCCGAAATTTTTACTAGCGATATAATATGATTCGGACTATTACCGGATTCTTAACATACATATTTAGGATTGTTTCGTCTTTGTTTCGGAATATGTTTTTACCACACTAATTCCGAATTGAAGCGGACTAATGTCGGATTCTTTGTGTACAGATTTCGGATTATTTCGTATTATACCTTTTAGTTGGATTAAATTCGGATTGTTGGTGACAATTTTCGGATTCTTAGCATACAGATTTCGGATTGTTTCGTACTTTTTTCGGAATAGGATTTGGCCACACTTAATTTCAAATTGTTGCGGACTAATACCGGATTTCTTGCTTACAGAGTTCGGATTGCTCCGGACAATTTGCGCATTAAGTTTTTTTAACTAGATTAAACTCGGATTGTTGCGGATTGATTCCGTATTCTTTACATATTGATATCGGATGACTTTCGTACTTATTTTAGAAGAATTCTTCACCGGTCACAAATTTGGATTGTTGTGGACTAATTACGGACTGAATTCGTAGACATTCAGGATTACTCCGGAGTGTTTTCGGATTCAGGTTTTCGTTTGGATTAATATCAGACTAGCGCGGATCATTTTCGGACCTTTTTGTACAATTTTCGGACTAATCCGTACTAATCTGTCCGTATTTAATCCGGAATTAGTCCAAAATTTTTACCACGGATACCAACATTTTATTACATTATCGATGTTATACACATATATACATACATCGTAGAGTGGAACTTCTATGGCTCTTATAAAACATTAATATCTTAATAAATAATGAAGTATTTACCTCAAATTATGCATAAATGTAATCTAGGATTATTAATTATTATTAACTATTTTAGTGTTTATCTTTATATTTTGTACCTCTAACCGAGTCGTGACCGAATCGTGACTGAACTCGGTCACAGCCCGGTTTCACCTACCCGCCAGTGAAAAATCAAAAAGCATTAGGATGAGATAACGAGGGACAACAGATTTGATTATGCCGAGGAAATGTTTAGAATTAATGTCTCTTTGTACGTTATAGATCAAGTAACTGGCCAGATTGAAAAAAGATTTGAAGGAATGAAAACTGTGTGTAAGCATTTTGACTTTCTAGATCCTAAAATAATTAGGAGCACTAGTACTACAGATCTTGTAAAAAAATGCAAAAAATTTTACAACAAATATTCCGAAGCAATTCGAGTACTCTATTTTGACTGAATATGAGCATCTTCTGACTCTACTGGAAAGCGACAATTTGAATATCTTAACAAAAGAACTCTTTCAAATCATAATTGAAAAATATGCAGTGCTCGAATGTGATTTCAGCCAGATTTACTTAGCCTTTTTACTGTTATTCACATTGCCAGTAACGGTGGCAAGTATTGAAAGGTCATTCAGTAAACTAAAATAAAATTTATCAAATACTACTTGAGATCACAAATTGGTCAAAGCAGACTCCAGTAGTTTAGCTCTACTTTCCATTAAAGCAGAAACTGCTTCTAAAATGGAATTGACTGATGAGAAAGCAATAAGAAAGAGAGAAAACGAAATTTTTAATCTTTAAAGACATAAATATAGAAATTTATTATTGATATTTAATATGAACATATTTGAAACTGAGAATCTTATGTTTTAATAAATTCCAAAGATAAAACTTTTACTTTAATTTGTATTGTAATAATTCTATTGTCAAATTGTTCCTCATTATATTAAAATTTTTATTTATGACTTTGAGTAAATATGCTTTAAGCTTGATATCTATAGTCTATGAAGGAGTATAAGGAGAAGTATGTATATGTATCCCTTTTGACTGTACTTGACTGCGTAAAATCGCCATGCACGAAAATTGGCATACCGGAAATTTGTTCACTGATATTAGCGCCCCTACAGGAGAAAATATATACCCTCCATGCTGTCCATGATAAAAGTTTTGTTTACGTACACTGAGAGAAGAAAAGCACAGATTCTGAAATGAAAAAGTTCAGCATCTGTACTCGAATTGAACGCAGCAGCATTGCCACTGTGTGATAGGTGTCGTGCTAAAATGTGAAACGGATTTTGACTTTGGCTTGAGGTACAGATGTTGTACTTTAAATGCTACTGTTTAGAAGTACAGTATCTGTCGGTCGCTATGAAACAGATCCTGTACTAATTATTTCGTACCGCCGCCGCGCTGCTTGAGCATAGTATCTGAACTATGAATGACACCAACTGAATAAAATTAAGAACGGGCACTGACACGCATTTTACACGGCCGGTGTTTGTCACAGTACGGATTCTGTGCTTTTTTTCTCTCAGTGTAGTTTTTTCGTTATGTACCAAGTTGTAACAATAAAATAATAGTAATATGAATTGTTTTATAAAAAATTGCATGTCTAGTTATAAAGCAAATAAAAATGCTTCTGAAAAAAAATGTTTTTTCAAAGCACCGAGAATGATAAGTTTATTTCATATACTATTTTGTAAGGGTAAAAGTTTTTATACTTTTACCAACAGACATTTATGAATTTAATGCAAAGAATTTTTGGTTTGTTTATTTGAAGTCCTTTCTATTCATATAACGTATAAAACAATTTAATTCTGTTCATATATTTTACAATACAACACTCAGAGGATCCTCTAACCTTAAATATCAATCAACTGTCAAAGATAAAAATACTTAAAATGTAAAATTGCACTTATTTCTCCCGTTTGGCGGCGCTGTTATCAGTGAGCATGAGGCTATTACTTTTCGCGTGCCTGTCGATTTTACTGCAGAAAAGTACAGTCAATATCAGGAAATTTTCCCATTGGAGATATGTCTCCTTATACTCCTTCATGCTATAGTCTTAACTATTCTTGCATAAATGTTTCTTACGACTATAAAAACTCATTAAATGTTTTGAAAGAGAATCAGGAGAAATTTTATTATTTCTGTAAGGTATTTCCCAATTTTAATCCAAGTTCATTTCCACTAGTGGGCCCCGAGGCTTTTCTCGCCCCAGGGCCCCGACCTCTCTTGTTACGCTACTGCATACAAATTTCAAGAAAAAAATTTGATTATATTGGTTAGAAAAAAAAATATAAGCGAAACCATTTTTTTCCAATGTTTTTTCGAGTTTTACCACTGAAACTTCAAATATGCATAACTTCTTTCAAAATAGTTTTTATGAAAAATAAAAAAATACGGGTCTCTTTATTTTTCATATAGAATAACATATTTAATCAGCAGTTAAATCCATGACTTAAGGCGCTTGCACACTTCCAAAATTTTGGGCGAGCAGCGAATTTTCATGGCCTTGAAACTCATATTACTAAATATGATTGGCTCTACAAAATGCTGCGTGAAAATGTACTTTGTCAGAGCCAATCATATTTAGTAATGTGCATTTCAAGGCCGTGAAAATTCGCTGCTCGCCTAAAAATTTGGAAGTGTGCAAGCGCCTTTAAAGTTGGTCAGTCTGCATGATTTGAAATGGATTCAGCCAACTATATTAATTAAAAATTTTATTAAAAAATTTGCATAATTTATATTTTTTTATTACAATTTTTTAATGAAATCTCAAGTATTTTTTTAAAGAATTAAGAAATTATTGATAATTAACAAAACATAATTTTGTTTAATATTTAATAAAAATAAACTTACGTGTCAATTCCGGGACGAATTGTAGTCTTAAAAACTCCCCATACGGGTTTATGATCCGAGGTACAAATGCTCGGAACGGAATCATAAATTAAGCACTCGATTGTTCCGTCTTTTTGTGCTGCTGTACTCTCGTGGCTCAGTCTTCTAATGTAACCCCTCGTGTGCGCTTTTCCTTTAAAAAGAATGCGATCCGTGTAAGCGGGTGTTCTCTGCTTGCTACTCGAATCGAAATTCTGTGTTCCTGGATCATATTTATATGTTGGAGGGAATGTAATTGGCGCTTCCTCAAATCCACGAAACACTGAACCCTCGTGCAATGTGTTTCGCAATTGGTCCTTATGCAAATTAACTGGATTCTCACGTGGAAATCTTGTCTCCGATATCCACTCAATCACCTCCTCTCTCGATTGCGAGAGACGAAAATTCAAATCGCCACACCAGAAAACGCAATCGAAATTTTGTGTCACATCTACAGAGAAAAGAAAATATTACTTAATTTTATACACACGCCTCGGATAGTTTTTTTCAACTGCGATATTTACAATTTTTCCGACTTCTTTAGACTTATTTTCCAAAAATGCGACTATTTTCTAAATATTGCAATAAAATTAAAGGGACCATATGAAAATAGTGTCAATGCGGGACACCCGCTTATTTATATGATTTAGTAAACAAAAAAAAGATCATTTGTGACAAGAAAAAAGAATCAGGGAATTTGTAGGCGTCAATTTGAGCGGAATTGAAACAAAGGCTCGTCTTATGACATTTACATATTTATATTATGCTTATTTTGTAACATTGAATCACATATGTTTCTGACGATTGAATTTTTCTTAAAATATCACGAAGTCTATCTCTCTCACACTTATATACGCTTGTGTGCTAACCTGTAAATGCAGGATATTCTTAACTATTTTCCGGGATATGCAGGACATTTTATGTCAAATGCGGGACGTTTTGCGGGACGCTAGCCTTTGCGGGACAAAGGGGAAAAATCCGGGACAGTCCCGCACAATCCGGGACGTATGGTCACTTTAAATAAAATACCAATTTTTTGCATAGAATACAATTCATTTCCATTTTTATAGTGTGGAATATAACTCAAATCTTTTAAAACATATTTTTAAACACTTTTTTCAAATAATTAAATTAAAACATTTTTTAATAATTGGAATTTTATTTTATTTTTAACACTAGTTTACAAAGATTTTGACCTGCAGCATGTCACTGTCATTTCTTATGTAAAAGTTGCTCCCGAATTCGAATATGAAGTCAGATATTAAGAAAGTTTTCGAGATATAGCTAAATTTCCATCTTTTGAGTTTCGCCAAAAAGTGGATTCATTAATTTACCATTATTTCCGAATGTAGTCTATCGATTTCAATTTTCTTTGAAGCAAATTGAAGGTAATTAAATTTCCTATAAAAAAGTATTTATCACATTTTTTAATTGGACTACTGACGGTTTAGGAGCTATTTATGAATTTGTTTGGAATTTCTCATTATTTTTAACAAAAGTTTAGAAAGTGATTGACTTTTTCAGTAAATTACGTCATAAAACACGTGTTTACTTCGGGTTTTCTTTTTGGACGTCAAAGTACAATTTCTTGGGAAGAAAATAAGCCATTGTCGATCAAAATTAAACTGAAAATATAGAAGATATAAGCACTTAAGGGTAAATATAAAAAATTAGCTTTTACACAATTTTACGGTTTATTAAATATGTGAGGGGAAGATCATTCTGACGTTAATTCAAGTAATATTCGATCAAATATCCTAAAATAAGGGTAAGGGTTGTGAGGTCAATAGTTCGCCCCTGCGACCTTACATCGATAGAATGCCAATATTTTGATCAATTGTCGCATTACCAAAATTTTAAAATAATTGTGTTACTCTTTGTTCGACCGTGTAAATGAAATCACGGAGTGAGTTTTTTATCTGCGAATCCTGTGAGAAGAAATTCGACAACTTGTGATGGGAATTATTTTGTATAATCGACAAGAGTCGATATTTTATCGACATCAAGTAAGTGATAAATGTTTCTTTGTTTTTTAATAAATTTGTTTTGTTCCTGGAAGTCACTTGGATTATTTTATATTATTTTATTAGGGTTCTCCAACGCTAATAACCTCCTTGTAATCTCGTGTCTAATTTATTTTTCTGTGTTTTGTTAATTTTATAAAAATTAACTAGCGTCCGCGTATTTATTAATATTTTACTTTTCGCTAAATAGAACTCCAGGAACTCTGAACACGGTCGCGCTGGATGTGAATAGAGTTTATTTTATTCATTTTGATCAGATTTGTCATACTATTTTACTTTACTTAATTTAATATATTTATTTCTTAAAATAAACAATATAAAATTATATTCGTCTCAAAGACATATCGCATGGTTTAAGGTTTTAAAATATTTTAAACATTAAAAGTGTCTGAAATTCGATTTCAATATTATCTGTTTCTCAAATCAAAAACCAACAAAAATCACCCACCATTGCCTTGTCCCAAAATCCTTGGTAGCATGGGGACACAGCATCGAAACTTTTCTAAAAGTTGAAATTACCTTGACTGCAATGTTCAGAATCTTTAGTTACGAGGCTCTTTAAAGTTGAAGTAATTCTTTAAATGTCGACTGTTTTTTAATGTTTGACATGAAAGTTGACTGAACATATGTTCAGTCAACTTTCACGTCAAACATTGAATAACATCGGGCATTTAAAGAAAAACTTCAAGTTTCATGAGCTTTGCGCTAAAGATTTCGAAGGTTGCAGTCAAGCTAATTTCAACTTTCAGGAAATTTTCGGCGCTGTATAGGTCGTTCTATGTCCTTTATTTTTTCTGGTGAAAACGTTCAACATATTCATCACTTTCATCGCCTTAATTTTCTGGGAAGAAATCCAGACGGAACGCAAGGAAAAGGATTTTCAAAGTCATATTTACAGCTATTACAATAAAAAGACGTGATATATTTAAATATTAAGTTGGTATATTTTACATCTTCATAGTAAATATTGTGGCAAAGTGTTTTTGTCACGATATGTTCATTATTTACTTTCTTTTTATTATTATAATTTCAAATAATAATTATTTGATTTTTGGTTTAGCGCGTTAACCAGCAAACACGTTATATAAGTATTCTATAACAGTGAGGTCGCAGCGTTATAGAACATTTGTTCCTAACTAGTTATAGATCTGTGATATAACCTGATTGTAACAGAGTTCTAGAACATAGTTACAAGTTAGTTACAGAATAGTTCTGTATTATGCTTATGTCACAGTTCTATTACAATGTGATGTAAGAGTTACATAACTTTAATGTCACAAATTTTCTGTAACTGTTGTTCCAACCTTGTTCTATAACTGTGCAGGAACATTGTTGTGTAACTGATCTAAACATCTGTTGCAATTCAGTTCTGTAATATACTTGAAATTACAATTAAGAACATTTCTGTAACAACGTTACGTGTCAATTCTATAATGCCAATGTCACAAATAACTAAAACTAACAACTGCATACTCAAAATTTGCGTAAGAAAGTCAAGTTTTTGATGCCGTCTGGCGAATTTTATTTCCATTTAGGGGTTGGGCAGTATGTCCGAAAAATCGACCAAACTACCCTAAAAATATGGCCAATTTAGTGAATAACAAAGAAAAATAAAGTAATCTTTCTTGTAACAGAGAAAAACATTTTATTTAAGTAGTTTTAACACTGTACCCTCAAAATAATAAAAACTACCCATAAAAATCACCCCCTAAAGATAGGTTTAAAAAAGTTCCAATTTTACTTTAAAAAATTGGTTAAAAAAAATAAATGACATTTATGAGGCTCGTGATTTAATCAGAATATATTTTAGTCAAATTTACCTCCATAAAAATAATTACCAATAAACAAAAATCATCCCCTGTACATTATTTGGTCAATTTTGTAATTATTCTCATGAACATAGACATAACATTTTTTTATACATTCTATAAGTTATGGAATTTTCTCACAATATATTATGTTTAAACTAAAACTAATATTAATAAAAACCATCCCTAAGAATCATCTCCTAATCATAATTTTCACAAATTTCTTACTATTCTTAAATTAATTGTGTACAAAAAATTTAAATACGGTTTCTAAGGTCTAGAATATTTGTTCTGAATATATTTCAATCAAATTCACCCCCATAAAAATAATGACCAATGAACAAAAATCATCCTCTGTACATTAGTTGCGCAATTTGGTAATAATTCTCTTGAACATAGACATGACATTTTTTTTATACATTCTATAAGTTATGGAATTTTCTCACAATATATTAGGTTTAAACTAAAACTAATATTAATAAAAACAACCCCTAACAATCATCCCGTAATCATAATTTTCACAAATTTCCAACTATTCTTAAATTAATTGTGTACAAAAAATTTAAATACGATGTGCAGGAGAATGTATAAAAAAAATGTTATGCCTATGTTCATGAGAATAATTACAAATTGACCAAATAATGTACAGGGGATGATTTTTGTTCATTGGTAATTATTTTTATGGGGGTAAATTTGATTAAAATATATTCTGATTAAATCACGAGCCTCATAAATGTTATTTATTTTTTTTAACCAATTTTTTAAAGTAAAATTTGAACTTTTTAAACCTATGTTTAGGGGGTGATTTTTAGAGGTGGTTTTTATTATTTTAAGGGTACAGTGTTAAAACTACATAAATAAAATTTTTTTCTCTGTTACAAGAAAGATTACTTTATTTTTCTTTGTTATTCACTCATTTGGCCATATTTATAGGGTAGTTTGGGCGATTTTTCAGACATACTGCCTAACCTCTAAATGGAAATAAAATTCGCCAGACGGCATCAAAAACTTGACTTTCTTACGCAAATTTTGAGTATACTTACAACATTTTATCTTCAAAAATAAATTAGCGTGTACGCTCCTCCCGTATTAGTCACGTAATAGAGTGTAATAGAGCATTATTGCGTCAGTGTAATACCACATAATATAGAGGTAATATTCTGTAATAATCAGTAATACCCTGTAATAGTTCTGTAATACCCTATAATACTAGGTAATACGCGTAATAGCAGGAAAATTTAGTGTATTAGAGTGTACACCATTTTAACCAGTAATTACCCCCTCGAATGTAATTATTCGTTAATTGTTTGCCATTATTGTTATTCGTAATAGCAAATTTTTTTGATAAATTAATTTGACAAAGAATTTTGTAAAATCTATTTATATTTAAATGAAAAGTTATAGAATATAAATTTGTTCTAAAAATGTAGAAATTTCATTAATTAAGCTTAAATTTATTGCTTTAATCTTTCATTTAAAAATTAATTTTCAAGCCTTTCCTTATACTTGTAACTTTGAAAATTTACATTTTTCAATTAACATTATTAAATATAATGTATATTATACATAGCATAATTATACTATTGTTGCAAATACAGTATCGTTTTTCAAGTTACAAA